CAAACATGCACTGACCTCAGGACCTTTGTACTTGCTGTCCCCCCCCCCACCGCCTGGAATTTTCTTCTTCTAGTTATGTGCACAGCTCCCTCCTTCCCTCACTTTGGATCTCTGTTCAAATGTCACCTTAGCTGTGAGGCCTTCCCTGACCACCTTGTATAAATGATCATTTATAACAGATGATTGTGAGAGAGAGAGCAAATCGCCCCACTTCACTTCCCATGCCCCTTAACCTGCTTTGTTTTTCTTCACAGCATTTACCATGAACTGTCATGTTATTTATTTATTTGTTTATTGTCTGTCCCCCATTAGACTTGCAAGGGCAAGGACTCTCCCCGTTTCTTTTCATTGTGCCTAGAACAGCACAGAGTGGAAATTCACAAATATCTATGGAACGAATGAACCTGCACCAGATATACACATATACGATGACATCCATGATTGCAGACACAGGCCCGCACGCACATAGGAATCACGTTTGAGTACGTGGTCGTGAGAGCACACGGATCAGGGGAGCTGAGGCTGAAAAGTAGAGAGGGCAAAGCCAACATTTACTGAGCCAGGCTGGGGCTTGACATTTAATCCCATGGGATGACACAGCTGTGCAGGAGGTTGAGACCTGTGGCCCAGAGAAAGCCACCAACATGCTCATGATCTCATGAGAAGGCCTGGCAGATCCGAATGCAGGCCCGAGGCTCCACGGCATCCTCCCCTGAAGGACTGGACGCCAAGATAGGGTCCTGTGGTTACACCGGTTCAGAAAACGCAGCTGGAGCAGGAAAGGGTGGGGGAGAGGAGGCCCAAGCATCTGCAGCAGTCTAGGCAGGGCCAGGCAGAGCGGTGGAGAATTGGCAGGTGGCCAGGAAAGCTGGCCCACGCGTCTGAGAGAGGCCCCGTGGGCGGTATGAAGGCCTGGGAGAAGGAGGGCCCTGGTAGCCCCGCCCCTCAAACCATCGTGCAGGCCGAGCCGAGGGCGCAGGCCAGGGAGATGCAGCCAACCTGGTCCTGCCAAGCGCGCCCCCTGGGGCTGGGCTGCAGCCACTGAGAGGGGCCACTTTTGCTGCTCCTTCGGAGGGGCCCCACACCAAGGGGAATCCAAGCCTGGGTTCCAGACTGCACCCAGCCACCAAGTATTCTATGCAACTTTGGACAACACTCTCGATTCTACTTTGCCCTTCTCTAAAGTGGGACTTGACCTCTGGCCTTTGCCCCAGGCAGTCCTTCCACAGAGAGCTCCTTCTCCTCCCCCACACCCCAAATCCCGCATGTCCAAATCTTTCTTGCACTTTAACTTCAAGTGCCACCTTCTCTACGATGCCGTCCCTCGGCTGCGCCCCACTGCGCTGTGCTTGGCCCTCCTGTGTTGAAGGACTTCCATCATGAAATTCCCTCATGGCCAGAGATCATTTCGATCTCCTGTGGTTTTTACTGTATTAAATTCCTCCAAGCACTTCTCTGCACACACAGAATACAATGGAAGCTGCTTTCCCTCTCCCAGTCCTGCCTGATCTGGCCTGCGTCCCCCAGTCCTGACTCATCTTCAGTCACCTTCTTGCTCTGCACCAGCCAAAGTGGCCTCTTACTCTTCCTCAGCTTATTCCAGCCTCTGGACTTTTGTATGTGCTGTTCTCTCTGCGTGGAACCATCTTGTGCCAGGCTCCTTCTCATCTTTCCAGATCAGCCAAATGTCACCTCCTCTGAGAGGCCCTCCCTGATATCACGTCTATAATAAGACACCCACTCCAGCCTTTCCATCATTCTCTTCCTCCCCCTTTCCTGTTTTATATTTCTTCTTAACACTTATTGCCCCCAGAAATTATATGGTAGATTTCTTTCCTTTATAACTAGAAGGCCAACCCCAAGAGGACCAGGACTATTTTGTTTATTGCTTCGTTCCCAGTGCCCAGCACAGGGGTGGCAACAGGGAGGTGTGGTAAATATTTGTTGCAAGAGTAAATGAACAACCAGAAGAAATGCATCTCTCTCCTGATATATAGCTGAGTAACTGATTGTATCTTGCTGTCTTGAAAGTATGTTGAATGAATGAATGAATGCATTTCTGTCTCCCCACTTGTAGTAGATGCTAATGTTTGATGAATGAATGAATGACAGAATCTTTGAAAAGGTGGTGTAGAGAAAGAAAAGGAAGGAGAAGAGGGAAGGAGAGAGAGCAGCAATGGAGTGCCTGCAAATACTGGGGGATCACCCCTTGTTCCCACCTCCTGCACCCCCACAGCTCTCCCCAGAGGTGGCCCCAGCCTCCCCCCATGCCCACCCTCCCGCCAGCCCCTCCCCTCTGCGTCCCTGCAGGGCTGTGATGGGTCCTGAAACTGCCTGATGGAGTCAGGGGAACAGTTCCTGCCGAGCCCGCAGGGAAGTCATAAGCTCCAGGAAATGAAGGCTGTGGAGCGATGCCTCCTCCTCACCCATAACTCCAGCCTCATTACGACCAGCCCAGGCTGTAACGTGGGGAATCAAAGCCGGATCCCCAGAGGTGGCAGCACGGCTCTGGGATCTCAGAGCAGGGCCACAAGGGGAGCGGCATGTCCTCATCCTTTGACGCTGTCTCGTGCCTAGGCCCCACAGAGTGGGCGAGGAAGGGGTGCTGGGGATGCTCACACCAGGGTCACGGGCCCTCCTGGCCTCCGTTCGTTCAGGGTGGGGCCTGAAGGGAAAGAGGGAACAGCACGGTCCCATGTTTGGGACTCCTCCCTCCTCTCTTCCCTAGGGACTGTGAGGTTTTCTCCTGTTCACTGCCCGGAAATGCAGCTTTAACCTCCTCACTGTCCCTCCCTTCCAACAGATGACTCCCTACCCTGAACCCCTTCTGTAAGGAAGTTCCTTTGCCCATGTGGGGAAAGAACACTGAGGAATCAGCATCTGCAGAGTGGGTATAAAACACCAGCCTTCCCAGTTGCTATGACTCACACAAGTTAGTTAAAGGCGTGAGAGCCGCCCGCTGTGGGTGCTGGGTCACAGGAGGTGGTCTACATTTCTGCCCTGAAGATTCCGGCCACCTCCTTGTTCTGCAGGAGGACCTGGCCCATCCTCTGCCCAGCCATACACCCGTTTCCCACCGAACTCCCCCAACCAGGCAAACGCCCCCTAGGCTCCCTGCACACTCCTCTGCCACAATGCTCATCCCTTTCTTCCCATCCACGCAGAAGCCCCCTCCTCCAAGAAACAGCCCGGATTCCCTCCCACCCACCTTCTCCTTCCAGACACCAGTGCCCACTCCCTTCCTTGAGTCCTTCTTAGAGCCCCACTCACACGCCACCTGGCATTTATGTTGCTCACCCCACTAAACTGGGAGCTTATTTACCTCTGTCCTAGCATCCAGCCCAAACCTGGCCGAGCCGATGCTCAGTGGAATTGAGTTGTTGAACTGAGCTGAACTGGGCTTGGGGAGAAGAGTGGGGATTGAACCCCTCACCTCCACTCACTCCTGTCAGTGCCTGAAATTCCTCCATTAAAGCAGCATTGCTGTCCCCTGTAAACACCCACATTAAGCCATTATTCATCATTATGGCTTGAGTAGGAGTTAGTCCTTCAGATCCGTTCTTGCTGAAAGCAGGATCTGATGGAGGTGAGGGAAGGAGAGATGGATTGATCTGGGGACGGCAGTGCTGGTCCAGGATGGGGGAGAAGTGTCTCTCAGAAGCTGCAAAAGGAAGGTTTTCTGGGGGAATGTGGAGACACCATGGCAAGCTCAGAGGGGTTGTGGCCCTGCCCAAAGTCACTCAGGGCACCTCCAAGCAAGGCCCCCTGGGACTCAGGTGCCCCACCCCAGCAGGGGGCTGTGCAGGGACTAGCATGAGATCAGAGGGCCTTCCCTGGGCTCCTGTTTTGGGTGGAATGACCTCTCACCTGCTTTGAGAAGGCGGGAATGTGGGTGGCCGGCTGGGAGCTGGACTCTGTGCACCCAGGAGGCCTGGGTCCTGGGAACCTTTGAAGACCCCTTTTAGAAGGGCCTGCTCCCTCTCTGGGGTGGGGGATTTCCAGGGGGTGGGCTGGGTTGGACAGATTGTCAGCCAGCGCAAGGGAAAGCAGCTGGTAAGGTCCCAGCTCCCGTGGGCATGGGGGCTGGTGAAGGACCACGCAGAAGGAGCTGGGCGCCGGGCTGGGAGAAAGTCGGGGGAGGCTGGGAGAGGACAGGTGTGTGATGGGAGTTGAACGAAAGGATCCAGGGGTGCCTGGGTGGCTCAGTTGGTTAAGCAACTGCCTTCGGCTCAGGTCATGATCCTGGAGTCCTGGGATTGAGTCCTGCATTGGGCTCCCTGCTCAGCAGGGAGTCTGCTTCTTCCTCTGACCCTCCCCCCCCCCCACGCTCTCTCTCTCTTTCTCATTCTCGCTCTCAAATAAATAAATACAATTTTAAAAAAGAGAAGAAAGAAAGGATCCAGGGCTGGGGCGGCGGGGGGAGAGGCGGGGAGAAGGCGCAGAACTACTAGACGGGGAGGGGGGGGAGGCAGGGACCACTAGGGGTCACAGCAGGTGTTTAATTGGTACCTAAAAGCCGAGGAGAGGTCGACTCAACCTGCCCTGCCCCCACAAGGCGCCTCCTCTTACGTTCTCTTGTTTCTCCCGCAGGCTCCGGGCCCGGGTCGGGACGGCCCCCCGCCCTCCAGGGATCGGCCGGGCCCCAACCAGCACCCCTCTGAGCGGGGACCATGGCGCATACCGGCCGCGGAGGCGCCGCCTGGTGATCCGGCCGCGGCGGCAGCGAGGGGGGCGCGGGCGGGGACCCCGGGGGGCCGTCCATGCCCCGGGTGCGGCCGCGCCCCCTCCCCCTGCAGCCGGGCGCCCCCGCCGCTGAGCGGCGCGCAGGGCCGCGGGCCCGTCCGGGTGCCCCGTCGGGGGGGGGCGGGGGGGGGGCGGCGCCCCGGCGGCCGCGCTGAGGCCAACCATGTGACGCGGCGCCGCTCCGTCGTGCCACCGAGCGGCGACGCCCCGGTGCCTCCCGTCCAGGCTCCTGGGCCCCGGCCCGGCGCAGGCCGAGCATGAGGCCGCGGCCCGACGGTCGGGGGCTCCGGGCGGGAGCCGCGCTGTCGCCCGCGCTGCTGCTGCTGCTGCTGCTGCCGCCGCCGCCGCCGCTGCCCGGACGTCTGTGGGCGGAGGGCAGCCCCGCGCCGGCGGCACCCGGGGCTCGGCAGGACGGCGCGCCGGGCGCGGGCCGCGTGAAGCGCGGCTGGGTGTGGAACCAGTTCTTCGTGGTGGAGGAGTACACGGGCACCGAGCCCCTGTACGTGGGCAAGGTAAAGTGGGCCCCCGCACCCGCTGCCCCGCGCCCGGACCCCGGAGACACCCACCTGGAGACGCTGAGGACCCGGCCCCCTCCCCCTCCCCCCCACTCCCCAAGTCCCCGTCCCTGGTGCCTCCTCCCCAGCCCGCGCCTGGCCGGGCGGACTGACTGCAGGGTGGCGCGCTCCGCAGGCCGCCCCTGCCCCACGGCCTCCTCCTGTCCCCCTCCCCTGTGCATCTCAGAGCAGAGAGAGCTAGTAGGTAAACCCAGGCCATCTTGTAGCTGGATGCATCTAGAATGTAGAAACAAGTTTGCAAATCTGATCGTGTCACACACATACTGTCCCCACTCTGCTTAAAATTCTTCAATAGCTTCCCATGCACTTGGGGTCAAGTCCAAATTTCACTGGGCTGCCTACAAAGATCTGGCTCCCCTGTAGCCTTACCTGCTGCCACATTCCTCTGAGTTTCAGGCCCAGGGCTCTTCTGATGGTCCTCACAGCGCCCTCTCCTGCCACCGCCCCTTCCCTTCGCCTGGGTTATTTCCTCCCCTGAACAGGTCAGTCCTGCTCCTTCTGCTGTTTACTTTATACTGACACTCAGGTCTCCACTCAAATGCCACATGTCCAGAGAAGCCGGCTTGATCACAGCAGGCTTAGACAGATTCCCCTGACTATGGCCATTCGTCCCTGTCACGTGCCCTCCAACGTCCCCACAGCTTTCCTTCACAACACTTAATTATGCATGTATTTGTTTGATTATGCAATTAATGTATATATTTCCTATCAGACCGTGTTGGTTTTCTCACTGTTATATCCAGCACCTAGGACACACGTTCTTCATAAACTGTTCATATTGAATGAATGAATGAATGAATGAATGAAAGCTACTTTCTCAAACTGAGTAAATGCTGGCTAATGTGGCCAGCATTTACTCAGTTTGAGAAAGATCTGTGCCTTAGGGGTATATGAAGCTGGGAAGGACTTTTGTGCAGCCATTCAATTCCTAGCCCCTCATGGGTGTGATGCTGGAGAGGCAGAGGCAAGTAAGATCCAGCCTCTGCCATTTGGGGGCCCCCCAGAGTATCAGAGATGCTCTGGTACATGAAAAGCTTCACAGGTCAGCACCTAGCAGCGAGTAGGCATTCCGTAAATGGTATCTGTTGGCTGGCTTGGGGAGGAGAACACACCTGAGCAGGGTTTTGATGTATGAGTAGGAGTTCGTCGGGCTGATGAGAAAGAAGGCATACATAGCCTGTGCAAAGACTTGGAGGTCTGAGGGAGCCTGGCTTAGTCAGAGGCTTGTCAGCAGTTAAAGTATTGAGGCGGAGGGTGCTGGTAGGGCACAGTTCTCTGGTTTCTGCCAGTCAGCTTTCCGGGAAGTTTTGGCCAGCAGAGTCAGGGGAGGGGACCAACCCTGGAGTTTCCCATGTGCTTAATGGGTCCGAGAATTGGGAGGCTGATCAACCTGCTCAGGTCAGAGGCTCAGGGATCAGGGAGGGGAGGAAGGCCTTGATGTAAATCTCCCGGTTTGTCTTGCAGGAAACCTAGATTTTCTCTGGTCTAGACATAGTAATCCCTGGTCCTTGGCTACTTTCCCCTCTATCCATGTCCTTGCTCAAGGTCACCCGGCAAACTAGTGGCAGAGCCTAGGGTTCCTGACTCCCAGGCAGGGCAGTGAGATGGTGGGGCTGGCAGAATGGGGTGAGGGGATGGGGAAGGAGGGACCAGTTCCAACTAGGCTGCAGCTGATGGTGAGGTGACTAAGAATGCAGGCTTGAGGGCCAGAAGCACCTGAACTTCAGTCCTGCGTCTGCCAACCCACAAACCGTATTACCTTGAACAAGTTACGTCACCTCCCTGAACCTGTCTCTTCGTCTGTAATGGGGGGCTAAGAGAGCCCTCTTCCTGGGGTTCCTGAAAGGATTAAGGAAGTAAATAGCAGATACGGTGTTCAGCTTGCAGCCTGGTTGGTTGTTCATCGTTGTTTTCTCATTATTCTCCTATGAAGCACTTAATCCTTAAACGGCAAGGTGGAAATCATCGTTCCCTTTTGTAGCGAGGAAACCGGGGACTGAGAGAGGGCAAAGTCCTAGAGGGGGCAAGGAACTTGGCCAGGACTTGAACCTGTGTGCGTCGGAGGCCAGTCCCAGCCTGATTCTCCCAACCTCTCTGAGACATCTGGGCTTGGGAGGTGGACTTGGGTCCAGGAAACCCCCAGAGAGGCAGGGAAGGACTCGCACATCTGCCTAAATGTCAGCTTGGTGCCATCAGGTACCTGAGCTCTGTTGTCTGCCCAGCAGCTGGGGCTCCGAGGCCTCCCCAGCCACCCAAGTCCTGAAGCCTTGAGAGAACCCACTGCTGATCCAGCACCTTGCACTGCATCCCGCTGGCCATTAGCATCTCACCAGCATGCAGGGAGCCCCACTCCTGTCTCCAGGAACCAGTCTGTGGCCTTAGAAAGTCCCTTCATTATAAGTCCAGGAAACTGAGGCTGGAGGCAGAGAACATCAGACCAAGGTCACCCTGCAACATGGTGACAGAACCAATCCTAGAGACCAGATTTCTGGACACCAGCTTGGGGCCCAGTGCAGTGTAACTGCCCTTGACCGTGAGCCAAGCATTGTACCCGGTATTTCTTCTCCTTGGGGCAACCTCTCCTAACATCCCCACAGCTGCCACGACCATGTTGTTCCCCCCAGCCATCATCTTCACCCAGAACCCCCCTCTCTTATTCCCAGAGCCCACCTCTGTGCGGGGAAGAAAGAGAAGTTTCCATCTGTTTGCAAGCATTTGCCCAGAGCATACTTCCTGTGGTGTGGTATATAGTATGTGGTTCAAGGGGGCCAGCTGGAGCCAGGCTGCCGGGGCTCAAATCCCAGCTCTGCCCCTTATTATCTCTCTGATCTTGGGCACATTACTTAACCTCTCTGAACCTCAGGTTCCTTATCTGTTGAGTGAGGCCGTTACTACCCCCACCTCAAAGGGTTGCAGTGAGGAATCACCGAGTTAGCATATGTCAGGAGCCTAGAAGAGCAAGCGCCTGGCACCTGGTGTGTGCTGGGTATTAGCTTTTATAATTATAGGTCTCGCCTGGTATTTCCACCAGCTTGAGCATCCCAGCTACACAGACACTCCCAACCCCTGCCCAAACCCTGAAAGCCTTCTCAGCAACACATGTCCTGGTTTCTCACCCCCAAGTGGTGGGGGATGGGAGAGAGGGAGGTGGTCACTTAGCCCACACCTCCCTCAATATTCAATAGCAATATGAGGAATATGAGCTTGGACTTTTTTTTTTTTTTTTTAGATTTTTTTTTTTTTTTTTTTTTTGAGAGAGAGAGAATGAGAGACAGAGAGCATGAGAGGGAGGAGGGTCAGAGGGAGAAGCAGACTCCCGGCCGAGCAGGGAGCCCGATGCGGGACTCGATCCCGGGACTCCAGGATCATGACCTGAGCCGAAGGCAGTCGCTTAACCAACTGAGCCACCCAGGCGCCCCTGAGCTTGGACTTTTAAAAACCACCCGTCCCCTTGCCAGCCGAGCCCCACCTTTGTGCAGGCGATTGCATGTGCACACATGCATACACACACACACACACACACACTGTCTCTCTCTCTCTCTCTCTGTGTCTCTCTGTCTCTCTCTCATACCACGCTCGCTCTCTCGCTCTTTGGGGAGAAAGGACTTCTCCACGGTTTCAGTGAATTCACTGCTTCCCGGTCCCCCGCCCCAGGGAGCCGCTTGGAGCATCGTCCTTGTCCTTGTCGAATTCCAAAGGTAGCTTAGCAACAGCACCATCCGCAGAGTGAACCCCGGGCGCCCAACAGTAACCTATTTTACAAGCTCCTTCTCCATCACTCACCGCCAGGCTCCTGTCGGCACCCGCAGGAACCGCTGCGGCCCGTGGTTGTCGCCTCAGCCTCAGCATCCGAGGCTCCCTCCCTGGTCCTGCTCCCTGGGCAGCCTGGCCCGCCTCTTCCCCTCACCTGCCCCCAACTCCCACCCTCAAAGCAACCTCCCAGATTTCCATACAGTCTGGGTACTTTGACTAATCCCTTTTCTGAACTGTAATTTCCCCTGAGGCTTCTGTCAGCTGGATGTGGATTTTGTAGGATTTTTTAATTTTTTTTTTAAAAAGATAGAATTATGGGGTCAGCACTTATGACCAACTCCTGTGGGCGGTGAGATCTATTTTAGATATACAGCAGGATTAAAGTGGGGAGGAGAGCAGATTTAATTAAGTTGCTAATATTTAAAGAAAATTGATGAACTCCTCGTTTACCAGAAGCACAGGCGTGAACAGACCCCTCATTCCGGGGGAGGCTTTTTATTTGATTTGCTTTCCATTTAAATCCTGGACTCGTTTTATTTGCGTAGCTGCGCTGTCCGTTTAATTGTCTTTAATAAGGAAAACGTACCTCTGCTCGCATTTAATTTTGATTTAATTAGGAGGAAGTAATTAATGGCCTCGTAAATCCCATTTTTCAGTTCCCCCCGGGATGAGAAACCATCACTCTTGTGTTTTTCACGTTGTTTATGATCCAGGGCTGGGACCTGCAGAGGGGTAATCTCCTCTGGGGCTGTCCACACTTGATGGCAATGGATAGAACCCAGGATGTGGAATCAGGCTTCAGGATCACCCCTTGATGGCTAGTGTGTGACCTCACAGGCCCTCTCTGATCCTCAGCTTGCCAACCTGTGCAGCAGGGAGGGAATAACCTCTGATTGGCAAATTCCTAATGGGACATCAATGAGGTTGCAGTAAAGGGTCTAGAAGTGTGTCTAGTGACTCTTCTCTCTAGTCTAGCTCATGTGTACCTGGAATTTAACAGTGACTGGATCCTCCAGAAACCCCAGAAGGCAGGTGGGGTATTTTAGTGACTGTTATATATTTCATTCTTCATTTATTTGATATGTTTGGTGCCATGCCTTGTGCTGGGTGCTGGGTAGAAGGAAACAAACAGCCATATGCTTGGTCCTCAAGGAGCTCACATCTCACACTTGCACGTGTATATACTCTAACACACACACACTCTTTCTCGCTTCCCCCATATTTTCTCTGCAGGCCTACTCAGGACACCTATGTGTGCCAGGCATGGGGAGTTCAGACAGGCATGAATCAAAGTTAGTACACACCCCTGAGGCCCAGGACAGCTAGGGAGACAGATGTGCAACACTGAGGTGTTATGGGGGAGTGTGGAGCAGAAGGGAGTGTGCATGGGGCAGGACGAAGGCTCTTCAACCAAACGACGTGGGGGTGGGGGAGCACCTAAGAGGACTGCCTGAAGGAGGAGACAAGCCCAGTTTAAAAGACAAGAAGGTACTAGACGATGCCCTTGTCTCTCCAATGGGTCAGGATTTCAGCCTATGGTCTTGTGTCAGGAGATGGGGGATGAAGTGGGTGACCCTCAGTCCCTCCTGAGCCCAGGGTGGGAAAAGTAGAGGGCACTGATCTGCACTGAGCACTTACATCGTGCCAGGAGTTTCCACACATTATCTTATGAATCGTTGGAAGGCGTGGGAGCCATATCGTATCCTTTACAAATGAGAAGACTGAGGCTCAGAGAAGGGTAGCCTCTGGCTCAGGGCCATGCCACAGGCCAGTGGCAAAGCCTAAGCTGGCACCCAGCTGTTCCTGATCCCGAAGCCCATTGTCTCTCCTGATTTGTGATTTGCAGTCCTTTTCCAAATGATGAAGTAGAGGCCCAGGTAGAAGAGGCCACCCAGGACTGTGGCCGGCACAAGGCAAAAGGTGTGTCCAGGCCTCTCCCCCAGCCAGACTGACAGACTGCAGAGGCTGCAGAGGGACAAACTGCACTTTGGAGTCAAACAGACGTAGGCCTAGCTCAGTGTCCTCACCTGGAAAAAGGGGATACATCCACGTGCGCTCCGACGTTCAGTTAGATTTCTGCAGAGGCCCCCAACACACCTGGCACGTGGTAGGCACTCCATACACAAGAGCGCTGGCCTCCAGCCCCTACTCACAGCTGAGCGTCTTGGGAAATGTCCTTCTGGGGCTAGAGACACAGGCACACCCTCTTCATTCCAGAGCCAGGACCCACGCGGGCAGGGCAGACGGCCCCCGCCCAGCCCAGCCCCACAGCTCGCAGCTCGAAGCTCCCGCCCCCACCTCCACCCCCACCCCAGCCCCCACACCCCCGCCCTGGCGTTCAGCTCTGTCTGACTCTGCAGTCCCCAGAGAGTGGCCACTGGGCCAGCGCATGAGCACTATGTCATCCGTCACTGAAGAAGAACATTGGTGACATCACCGCTGTCTTCCACTCCCTCCTCCCCGCTCCTCACTCATGAGTGATCCCTGTCCGGGATGTGAGTAAGGTCTGCAGGGACGTGATAGAGACCCAGGGAGCAGAAAGGGAAGGCAACAATGGCCTACTGAGGGTTCAGGCCATTACAAACATGCTCTCATTGAATCCTCACCACACCTGTGCCAGGGAGGGCTTGATCTGATTTCTCAGGTGGGAAAGCAGAAAAAAATGAACAAGCCCATGATCACAACATTAGTGTGATGGAATCAGGAGATTGGCTTCCTGAACTAGGCTGTGAGACACAGCAGGTGACTTCCCCTCTCTGCATTTCCGTTTTCTCATCTGAGAAATGGGAAGAATCATGTTTCATAGGGCAGCGATGAAAACTGATAAGATTATCGCTGTTAAGCATCCCCCCACGTGGTGTCTATCCCACCCATGGCTTGGCGGTGTTTGCTGACTGTGTAAGCAGACGCCGGGTCTGATTGGAAAGTGGGTGGAGGCACTGGAAGAGGGAGCAAGTTCACCCTCTCCTATCCCCACGTCCCCTGGGCAAAGGTGGAAGGAAAGCATAAACAGCAAACAGGAGAGACAGGTCTCCTCATCCCCAGCATTGCCAATGATTCAGGGCTGACGTCCTGAGATAATTTTATTAGGGGCATTAAACTGAGTTATGAGGTTTTTACAATCCAGCCACTTATGAGAAATCTATTAACAGTAACTGGACAGGAAGAAGGCTTTTCAGTGGAGCCCAGAACGGGCATTAATTGGGGCAATCTATAACAGGACGGGGACCCGGGAAGGTTCCACCAGACGCCTCCATTTACTCCCCGCAATTTCTGCTGAGAATCAGCAGACTCGCCAAAAAGAGAGAGATGCCCATTAATCGGCTAATGAAATATGAAAATGTTTATGGGCCATTCAATCTTCCAAATGGCACTTCTATAATCCACCTTTCAGACACAGAGTTCCACCAGCAGAATTTATACCCAGGCTCCTCCTGCGTGGCAAGGGGTGGGTGGGCTTTCATCCCCCTTCGTGACGACTTCATTGGCACCTGTTGTCCTGCTGAGTGGGCTGGGGTATGTGGCATCCTGACCTGAAAGGGGCCTTAGGGATTCTGTCACTCACACTCCATCTCTACGGAAGCTTAGAGCGGAGCAGGGACCCACCCAAGGTCACCAGCTTCATCGGACGCTTTTCCCTCTGCTTAGAGCCGCCTCAGAAATGTGGGCATCGGAGGATCAGAGCCAGTCCGACTAGTGCATGTCAGAGACCTAGGTGTTTCTGTTTGGGAGAACAGTCTTGCTACTGCTTTCTTGCCTAAGAGATCTCGGTTCAGTGAAAACAGCCGGGGATTTGGAGCCTGTCGGTGGCTGGATTAAATCCCAGTTATATATAGCTAACATTTAGTAAATAACATAATAGTAACGATAGCTACCATTTATTGGACACTTATTATGTCTCAGGCAGGGCTGATTTTCAGCTAGTACATACCAGTGTCATTGTGCCAGTTGTTAAGATAGTGAAAAAGCTCCCCCCCACTGCGGTGAATGGTCTTTCTCCTCTCCCTCACCCCAGTTCCCTCAGCTCCCCCGACCTCTCTCCGTGACCCAGCAGCCAGAGGGTCCTGCCTGGCCTGGCCAGGGTCCTGCTGAGGTAGGACTCTGTGGCAGGGCCCCTGCTGGGCTGGCTGGTAGATGTCGCATGTCCCGCGTGCCAGGCAGGTGCTAGCGCCTTCTATAGACTTTAAACTTTAGGTAAGTCCATGAATGGCTTAGCACGGCGCCTGGCATGGAGCAGGTGCTCCTTCAATGTGCCTTTCCTCCCCGCTCCCTTCACTCCCCGTCCCCACCAAGCTCAGAGTCTGGGGGCTGGGGTCGGACCCATAACTCAGAGTGGGGTCAGAGACAGCCATTTGGAAGCTTGATAGAAAGGCAAACTCCGAGGCCCCGCCCCGGACCCACTGACTTTCCTCCCTGCCTCCCCAGATCCACTCGGACTCCGACGAGGGTGACGGGGCCATCAAGTACACCATCTCAGGTGAGGGCGCTGGGACCATCTTCCTGATCGATGAGCTGACGGGAGACATCCATGCCATGGAGCGCCTGGACCGGGAGCAGAAAACTTTCTACACACTGCGGGCTCAGGCTCGGGATCGTGCCACCAACCGCCTGCTAGAGCCCGAATCGGAGTTCATCATCAAGGTGCAGGACATCAACGACAGCGAGCCCCGCTTCCTGCACGGCCCCTACATTGGAAGTGTGGCCGAACTCTCACCCACAGGTGGGTGGCAGGCTGAGCCAGGGGCTAGGGTGAGGGGAGCCGCCGGGTTCTGAGGGAGAGCCTGCGGCGGGGACTGGCTGATAATCTGGGGAGATGCGAGAGGGACAGGAGCTGCTGCCCCAGGCAGGGGGTAGAGGCATGAGCCCAGGTGCCCACACGGGCTCAGGCATAGTGATGACACGGTCACAGCTGCACACATGACCTCAGACACATACATGGACACCGTCCCCACGTGGACATGGGCCTCCGGGCGGCCATAGCAACACCCTTGGGCATGGGCACCCCCACAGGCCCAGCCCCACTTACAGGCATGGGCACAACTGAACACGGGCACGCCTACAGCTGGGAAGAACAGGGGTGGCACACAGCTGGAACGAGGCCCAAGCGCACATCCAGACACGGCCTCACACCCGACAGAGCCTCATACAGCGCCCCTCGGGAAGCAGCCCCACACGCGGATGGAGCTTACGCACAGACACGGTCACCTACAAAGCCACAGGCCAAGGCCACCAACACACGTGCCCCGCCCGGGGCCAGGCTTCCCCAGAGTGTAGCCACAACAGGGATGAGCAGTCACAGAGCCCACAGCATCCAGACAGCTTCGTTCCCTGCCCAGGGGAGACCCCAGTACCCCAAAGCCCAGCCCCCTGGGAACAGGTCCACAAAGACGCCTGAGCCCCAGACGCAGGTCAGCTGCACGTAGCCAGGTACGGCCACTAGCGTGCAGGGGCGCTGGGGACGCGCCATGATACAGGTAAACCGGGAGCCCACACACCAGAACCTCCACGTGCGAGAAGACCTCAGGCGAGGCCATACTCCAAAGCTCACCCCCACATAGCAGCGGGACACTGAAGCGGAAGGTTGGATGAATATGCCCGCTCCCACGGTGGGGCCCACTTCTCCCCGGGGCTCCTGGGAGAAGCCGGAGTCATGGCCAAGGGGCACAGCCATCTTCTTCCACACAGGGTTGGCCCAGGCACCCGGTCGAGGGCTCAGGGCTGCCCCTCTCTGGGCCTTCCAGTCCGACTAGTGCATGTCAGAGACAGGGGGTGTCTGAGCTCGTGGGAGAGGGTGCAGTCAACCCCCGCGTCCCCAGATTGGGCTAAATCTGGCAGCTTGGTGGGTAGAGAGCCGGCAGCCAGTGACGGAGAGGAGGAAGTGGACCAGAGATACGGGTGGGCACAGAAGGACGGTGGGAGGACAGGGAACAGTGAGGGCAGGGATGTGGGTGCAGGCTGGTGCACACACACGCAGAGGTGCACACGTCTGCCTGGTGTGCACATGCGTTCACACATGCGTGCGTGCATGTACATGGCTAGTCAAACGGCACTTTAAGGCCTGTGCATGCATATGACATGCTATGTGTCTATTTGAGTGTATCCGTTTATTCATTTGACAAGTGTATAGGAAGACCTACTATGTGCTGGGCACTGAGAACGTGGCATTAAAGAGACAGACAAGCCTCCCTCTCCAGAAGGGTACCTTCTGGCTGAGGAAGACAGGCAGTAAGCGAGTAAACGAGCAGATCATTGGGCTGGGAAGGCTTCTCTGAGGAGGTGACGTTGAAGTGGAGACCTGAAGAAAGTGAAGGGTGGGCCCTGGGGGAAGAGCATTCCAGGCAGAGGGAACAGTACCTGCAAAGGCTACAAGGAGAAGTGGAGAGGCAATCAGATTGTGCAGCCCTGGGGAGCATAGTCAGAGCTTTGCTTTTTACGCTGAGCAAGCTGGGCAGTCAGCGAAGAGTCTTGTTCAGAAGAGTGACGTGGTCCGACTTAGTTTTAACAGGATCCCATGCTGTTCTGTGAAGATCAGATGGTGGCAGGGTTGGGGTATGGGGCAAGGACAGAAGCAGAGGAGTATACTGTAATTACCTAGGTGGGAAATGATGGTGGCTTGGAACAAGGTGGGGCCAGTAAGGGTAGTGAGAAGAGGTCGACTTTGGGACATATTTTAAAAGTAGAGCTGAAAGCATTTGCTAATGGATGGGATGTGGGGTGTGAGAGAAAGACAATTCAGGGATGGCTACTGAAGTGTTGACCTGGACAATTAAATAGATAGGATTTCCATTTGCTGAGACGGGAGGAACAGCAGATCTGGGGATGGAGGGAAATCAGGAGTTTGGTTTCAGTCGTGCTAAGTTGAAAATACTTATTAGACAGCCAAGTAGAGATCTTGCAAAAGGCACTTCAATATACAGGTACAGTGGAGAGACCATCGGAAGTTGTCAGTAGCAAAGACCCACAGACTTTCAGAGCCTAGTGATTACTTAGAAATCAGTTTTGCAAATGGGGGAAACTGAGGCTCAGAGAGGCGGTGATGTGTCCAAGGTCACACAGCAAGTTAGGGGCAGCTCAAGCCCCTGACGTCCCCCCATCCATCAGCCCCTACTCACTGATTCAAACCCTGGCCCTGTGTCTCTTCATCCCAAATGGATCTTTTCCACATGGAAAAGGCCAGAAAGGTGACACGAGGTGAGGCTGGAGAAGGAAGCAAGAGCCATACTTGAAGGACTTGAGGGAAGCATGGAATCTGGGAAAGGCTTAAGCAAGGGAGACAACCAAGTGCAAAGGTCCTGAGGTGCATTTTAGAAAGCTCCCTCTACTACAGTTTGGAGAACAGGTGGGGACAGGGGACTCCAGAGGGAGGTACCCGCCAGGTGCTCGTCCATCACTTCACTCTCACTTCAACTCTGAGAAGTGGCGGGATTGATGGTGGCATCCCCATTGAACAGATGGGAACACTGAGGCTCAGAGGGGAGAAAATGTGCCCACCGTCACATAGCAAGTCAGTGACTGAGCAAGTCAAGGCTTGGCTCCTAGACTGTTGGAGTGGCAAGAGTCCTTGCGTCACACTTGGGGGAACTGAGGCCAAGAGAAGGGCAAGGACACATTCAAGGTCACCCAGATTGTAGGAGGCAGAGCCAGCCCCCAGGTTCATGAGTATCAGTCAGCCTGAGGAGCTCCTGCCCTGCCTCACCTCCCTCTCCCAGCCCACTGACTCTGACATTCAGCTCAGGAAAGAGTCAGGCATTGGATTCAACTTGGACAAGCCAAGGAACCCAGGAAGGGGGAGGGAGGAAGCAGAAATTAAATTAGTTTATTTCATTTAAGCAACCTTTTGAAGAGGAAGCAAATCTGACACCAGGGTGCTTGCGGAGACTCCAGGCAGCTTTGAAAATCAGTCACAATGACTGAGCCTCCTGATCTGGGCTGAGGAGGGCGGGGCCAACAGGCGGCACTGGGGTCTGGGCAGCTTCGGAGATCAGAGGGAGCAGGGACACAGCTTGGGACATGAAAGGCAGCAGTGCTCACAAATTAAACCACTCACAGCTTAAAAAGGAAGGGAAGTGCGCCGGGGGCCTCCGATGAGCCACGCTTCTGAGGAGGGGCACGCCAACCAAGCTGAGCCTAATGCAGTGAAGCAGGTCCTGCAGTGGACAGTCAGGAGGCCTGGCTCCCTACACAACCTTGGGCGAGTCCCTGCCTCTCTCTGGGCACCAAGTTCCCTCCGAAGCATTGAAGGGGTTCATTCATGCAACAGATATTTACTGAGTGTCTACTCTGTGTCAGGCACTGTTCCAGGCATTGGGGATTCTTAGGAAGCCTACGTGCAGAGCAGGGAGAAGACAGGAAAGAAATAAACAAGCCAATATGTTATAGGCCCTGTGGTGTAAGTGCTGCGAAACCAAGGGAAATTGGCATTATACTGGGGGAGTGCTATTTTAGATAGAGGTGTCAGGGAGGGCCTTTGTTTACAAAAGAGGACATTTGAACAAAGAGCTGAAGGAACCAAGGAGCTCTGTGAAACAGTGGTTCTCATACTTGATTGTGCATCCACATTACTTGGAGGGCTTGCTAAAATACAGATTGATGCCCTTTCCCCCCCAGGGTTTCGGATTCAGCCAGTCTGGCTATTAGAAATGTTTGCATTTTTAATAAATTTCATGGTGATGCTGCTGTTGTTGGCTCAGGGACCACACTTGGAGAATCACTAAGCTGGAGGAAGGATGTACAGGCAGAGGGAACAGCAAGTGCAAAGGTTCTGAGGCATAGTGTGTTTGTCAGGTTTGAGAAATAGCAAGGGGTCAGTGTGGGTGAAGAGAGGAGTAAGTGAGGTGGGGAGTGTCCAATGAGATCGAAAGAGATACTGGAAACTGGATCATGTAGGGCATGGTAACCATTGAAAGGATTTCTGTTGTACTCTGAGTGAGATACAGAATCAATGAGTGATGTGATCCAACTTATACTTTTAAAGGCTGACTTGTTGGCCACCGAGTTGAAAATGGACTATAAGCGACAAGGTTGGAAGTAGGGAGATCAGTGAGGAGGCAGCTGCAATCATGCCGGCAAAGGTAATGCTGACTCTGACCAGCGTAGGAGGTGAGAAGGTATGGGATTCTGGATGTATGTTGAGGGTAGAGCCAACTGGGCTTGTGAGGGACTGGATATGGGGAGTGAGAGAGAGACAAGGCAAGGATGATGTCGACATGTGTGGCCTGAGCAACTGGATGGATGGAGCTGCCGAAATGGGGAATGCTCCAGGAAGAGCAAGATTACAGTGCAAAATTAAGACTCTTGGGCATGTCAAGATTGAGATGTCTACTAGAAATCCAAGTGGAGTAGTCAAGGGGAGAGTTGGGTTTCTGTGTCTGGAGGTCAGGAGCACGAACAGGGTCAGAGATACAATTTTGAAAGTCATCAGCAGAGAGAAGGAACTCAAAGCTGAAGGCTAGATGAAACCAACAAGAGAGTGAGTTTTGAGACAAAAGAGTTAGACTAGAAAATATCTTAATGTTGGGGGCACCAGACCCCTTCCGACCAGTATCACAACCTGACCAGTGGACAGCAAGATTTCACAGGGCTTTCATGCCCAGTTCAACTCTACCTACTTATTAATGCCAACTATGTATAAGACGATATGCTTGGCCCTGTTGAGGTTACAGAAATGAGAAGTTCAATCCAACACACATCTATTAGCCACTACTTTATTCCGGGCACTGC